ACATTGTGGAAAATGAAAGGGAACACATGAACATCAACATTCTAGGCATTAGTGAAAATGTACTGGCTCTGGTCACTTTGAATCAGACAATCATACAGCACGCTATGCAAGGAATAAAAAGTAGGATTATGTTGCCATCATAGTTTAAAAGCAATTTTATGTTTTATCCTGAAGTACAATGTTGTGAGTGACAGAATGTTATCCATATGCATACAAGGACTTGTTAATACATCTATTATTCAAATACACACACCAAAAACTAAAGCCAAAGAGAAGGAAATGAAGGTCTTTACAAAATTTTTCAGTGAAAAATTGACCAAATATGCAATCAATGTGTTAATGATAATTGGTGACTTGAATGCAAAAGTTGGAAATAATGGAAAAGGAATGGTAGTTGGAAATTTAGCAATAGAAATGAGGCTGGAAATAGAACTACCAAATCTGCTATGTTCAATGATTTATTCATTTCAATATCTTTTAGAAAAAACCACAAAAGGCAGTTTTACACATGTACCTCACCAGATGGACTGCATAGGAAGGACACTGACTACATCTGTGGAAGGAATGGCTGGAGAAGCTCAAGTAGCAGCAATCCAAAACTGCCAGGTGCTGACTGTGGAACAGACTATCAATTACACACGTGCAAGTTAAGATTGAGACTAAAGAAAACTAAAACAAATTTATGAGAATCAAAATATAATCTTGTGTCTGTCCACTTGAATTTAAAAATCTTTTTAAGAATAGGTTTGAAGAGTTCAATACTAATTATCAAAATTGAATTAATTGAGAGATGATATAAATTATATCCACAAAAAAGAGAAAAATATCATAAAAAAAGACAGAAGAGAAAGAAAAAAAACAAAATGGATGTTAGAAGAGACTCTAAAAACTGCACTAGAGAATAAAAAAGGCAAAATAAAAGGGGAGAGATGTTGAAAAAGAGCTGAACAGAAGATTTCAAAGGGCAGCTAAAGATGATAAAACAAAATACTATAGAAGAATGTGAAGAGAGCTAGAATTTGAGAAAAGGAAAGCACTCGCTCAGCATTTCTCAAGCTGAAAGAACTAAAAAAATAAATTCTATCCTGGAGTTGCAATACTGAGAGATGCTATGGGCAAAATCTTGAATTATCCAGGAACATCAAAAGAAGATGAAGGGAGTATGCAGAATTACTACCAAATATAATTGGGTAACACTGAAATATTTCAGGAAGTACCATACATTCAAGAGCCAATGGTAAAGAAGGAAGAAGGACAAGCTGAAATAATGATACTGGGGGAAAAAATAAGACCCCAGGAACCAACAGGATATTGACATCTTTCAAATGTAGCCCTGGATGTGCTTACCTAAATTATGCCAGGAAATTTGGAGGACAGCTTCCTGGCTGACTGAAAGAAATTCATATTTGTTCCCATTCTCAAGGAAGGTGATCCAATAGAATGTGTAAATTATCAAACAATATAATTAATATCACATGCAAACAAAATACTGCTAAAGATTATTTTAAAATAGGTAAAACAGTATGTAGGTATATAGAGAAATGGCAGAAGTTCAAGTTGGATTTAGAAGAGATCATGTCATCAGGGATATCATTGCTAATGTCAAATGGATCCTAGCTGGAAGCAAAGACAACCAGAAGAATGTCTATTTGTGCTTTATTGACTATGCAAAGGCATCATAGCAAGTTATGACTGACATTGAGAAGAATGAGAATCTCAAATTATTTCATTTTGCTCATGTGAAACCTATATATAAACCAAGAACACATTGTGCAAAAAAGAGCAAGACAACAAACACTACATGATTTAAAATTAAGAAACGTATGCATCAGGGTTCTATGCTGTCTCCACACCTATTCAATTTGTACGTTTAGAAAATTATTTGAGAAACTGGAAGGATTTTTTTTTTGCTATGAAGAAGAATGTAGCATTAGGATTAAAGTAAAACTCATCAAATAATCTATATTATGTAGGTGACACAACCTCTCTTTCTGAAGGTCAGAAGGAATTGAAGCAGTTGCTGCAGAAGATCAAATATTATAGCCTTCAATACAGATTACAACTCTATTTCCTGAAAACAAAAATTCTCACCACAGGACTGATAGGATATATCATGATAGAAGAAAAGATTCAAACTGTCAACAATTTTATCTTACTTGGAACCACAGTCAACACCCTTGATATCAGTAATCAGATCAGGAGATGCATTGCATTAGAAATTCCTAGATAAAGACCTCTCTAAATTATTAAGAACAGTGATGTAAGTTTGAGGACAAGGGTGCCCCTGATTTAAGCTTTGGTCTTTTCAGTCACATGCTAAGCATTTGAGCCCTGGATAGTACATACGAATGACAGAATTAATATCTTTGAGCTGTGGTATTGGAGAAGGTACATGAAATGTCAAAAACCCAGGTATGTCTTGGAGAAAGTACAGAGTACTCCTTGGAGGCAAAGATGACAAAGTTTTATTAACAAAAAAAGTTTCATTTTAAAACTTACATATGACTATTTAAGTCAATCAAAAAAATTTATATTAAGATCACTCTACACAGAAAGATGTTAAATTCCAGGATTCTCTCCCACTGACTTTCTTTTCCCTCCTTACAACCTTAATCACAGAAACTGAGGAAGATTTGAAGCATTTGCTGCAGATGGTCAAAGACTGCAACCTTCAATATGAATTGCATCTTAACATCAAGAAAACAAATATCCTCATCACAAGGCCAACAAGCAGTATCATTATAAATGGAGAAAGGACTGAGGTTGTTAAATGATTCCATCTTGCTCAGATCTACATCAACATTTTGGCACCATCAGTCAGGAAATCAAAAGACAAATCAGACAAATTGCATTGGGAAAATCTGCTGTATATGTATATGTATATGTATATGTATATGTATATGTATATGTGTATGTGTATGTGTATGTGTATGTGTATGTGTATGTGTATGTGTATGTGTATGTATATCTCCGGATAGCTAAAGAGCAACAATGTCAGTTTAAAGACTAGGATGTGTCTGATCCAGGCCATGGTCTTCTCAATTGACAATTGCTTGTTATGTGTCTGAGACTGGACAATGACCAAGTGTGACTGAACAAGAATTGATGCTTTGAGTTGGGGTGCTGGAGAACAGTATTGAGCATACCATGGACTGCCCAAAGAACAAACAGGTCAGTCCTAGATAGGGTGAAGTCAGTGAGGTCTTTGGAGGCAATGATTTTGAAGCTCCATCTCACACATGTGAGGCATGTTGCCAGGAGGGACCATCCTTGGAGAAGGATATCATACTTTGAATGGTGGAGGGTCAGCACAGGAGAGAAAGACCCTGGATGATATGGACTGACCTAATGACTGTGGTAGTGGGGCCAGGTGTGTCTGACATGGTGAGGTTGCTTTAGAATAGGGCAAGGTTCAGAGCCATTGTTTGTAGGGTCACTACAAGTCGTAGTCAACTTGATAGCACATAACAACCACCACCTTCCTGTTCCAATAAAATAGTGTTTCCATTTTCTGATTATAATCATAGGAAGTTAGGATGTGAATATATTGAAAGTAACTTTGCTAATAACTAAAAATTATCAATGGAAAATTATATAAACATTAAATAATCATAGTCTAGTAATTTTAATACAAAAACAAGGTACAGAATTTAGGAATTATTTTTTCCAAGAAGAGTGTGTGATTTAAGATGTGTTTGGAAGTTCTCTTTCTGCCAAAACATCTTCTGGAGTATAATTAAAATGCCAATAATCTAATTGAGGGAGAAATTCCAAGGTCTAAAAAAATGAATCCAGTAAAAACTATAATAAAATATTTGTATACATTCCCTTTCTGATATTTTAGTAGTAAGTTTTGGTATATCCTCAAATCCTAACAAATACTACCTTGAATTTATAGTGTTTACTCAAAATATCAGAATTCTGACCAGCTGGTCTTCTGTTAACACTGTCAGATATAGATGAAGAAAGCAGTAGGCCTTAAGTCATATACTACAAAGTACATTCACATTTTTAACCATATCACAGTTTGGTTGACACTTGAACTTCTAAATTGTGTTAATACGAGATGCAAAAATATAAACTTGGAAGCAACTTATCTTGTTTTGCTGTATTCCAAGGGATAATACTTTAAAAGAATTTGCAAATTAATCATTATATACATCCATTAAATAATCTATATCCAGAAAATACTGTTTCAAGTTTTAGTATCCAAAATATAAGATGTTTAAAATACCTTACACTCATCTTAGGACTCAGAATATCTATTTAAATTTTATTAAGGATTATTAATTCTCCCTTTGGAGTATATATGTGATAATATACAGAGGGTTTTATTAAATAATTTAAGAGAGAAATTAAATGAAGGTAATAATAAAGACTAGAATTTATCATGAGAATAAATGCATTACTATGTATTCTGTAAATAATAGTGTATCATTAACAACTATAAGACAAATCAATGTTTAAATTAGTATTTTAGGAATAAGCTTCTATCAAACTAAACATTTATACTGCAGAAAAATATCTATAATCACATTGCAAGGCATTTTTTTCTTCTAATTCCTTTAGCCTAGTCCCATTCCTAAAACATATAGATCCTTTTCCACTTAACACTCTTTTTGTCCAATTCCAATTTATCAAACTAAGAATAGAAATGATTATGTTTGGGGGAAATGTGAAAAACCAGAAAATGTGTTTACTGTATCGACACATCTATGATGTAGGGATTCTAGAGATTTGTGGTGTTTCTTGTTTTTTAAGTGGCCTAGAAAGTAGCCTCAATATAAATAAAAAATATCTTAAATGTTTTCAATGTATAACAGGTAAGTACATATATACTGACTATCTTTATTTCTGTTTCTAGACATAAGGTTTTTTAATTAAAACAAATTCAAGAAACAGATAAAATATAGAAAAAATATTTTCAGTGTTGAATCACAAATCACATTAAATTCATCTCTCCTATAAAAAGTTTACAGTGACACACAAAGATCAGAAAGCTACATTCCCCATGGAGTACATATGATATTAACAAAATCTTCATCCTCTATGATCCCCATACTTAGGCCTTCATAGTAATCTTCAAATTCACAATATGATACTTCCTCGGACTTGCTGCAAGCATCTTTTAATGTTTCTAGAAAAGATGATTTGATTTCTTCCTCGGTAGAATGACCTATAAAATAGTCACCAAGTTAAAAAATCATCTCACTGCTTTTTAACCTATTTTTATAAATAATCCCTTTAAAATTCTCAACCTTTAGGTGGGATCTGTTTATTATGTGTATGCAAAATAGCAGATATAATTTAAGATATTCTTGAATATGTTAGTTTTTAGAGTACTAAGCTTTATTCTCATTGAAAATTAGGAAGGAAGGACAAGATGGAAACATTTAAAGCCCTAGTTATTTTAAGAATCTGCAGATAAAAATGTAATGAAACAATATATGTATGAATGACTGCATGAAAAACTAATTTGCTTTGTGAACTTTTACTCTAATTACAACTTAAACCAAAAAAAGTATCAGAGCAAACTTATGATTCAACAGCCTATGAAAACATTAATTAGAAATATTTTCACTTGGTTAAATTATTCTATTTTCATTTCTGACATTAAAAAGACTATTTTTACTCAGTTCAATTAAATAAATTAATTTCTATCTTACAGGAATATGTTGAGAATCACACATATAAAAAGAGTAAGTCTGTTATTTAAAGAGAACATAAATTTATCTTTTCCTTTAATTAATTTGAAGTTTTAATCTTTAAGAAAAGGTTGTGGTTGTTATAAGGTGTTGCCAAGTCAATTCTGACTGAGAGTCACCCTATGAGTAACAGACCAGACCGTTCACCAGTGCCCTACCCTACACCATTCTCAAGGTCTCCACTATGTTAAATGAAACTGCTATACTCATTGTGTCAATACATCTCATTGAAGATCTTCCTCTATTTAAAAAAAAAGAACAATAGTTTAATTTTTTATATGAAAGCAATAGCTTTTAAAAGTAATTAGCCTTGACTACAGTATGATCAGTTAAAAGATCTTTCTATAAACACCATTTTCTAGGGAAGACTTTGCTGACCAACTCAAGTCTTGGTATTCCTTCACAGAACTTATCTTGCTAATTTGTCATCCACCACACAAGAAGGAAAGACTGCTTGTTCTCTTGTGGAAACTGCAATACCTCCCCCATAATCTGCTATTAAATGTGGCAAAGAAAAAGGACAATTAGAATGTTTCTTTTTTCTTTTCCTTAATATTAAAAAAAACAAACACCAAAACTCACAATGAAAGAATAATGAAAAAAAAGAATAATGCAGAAAATAGTCATATAATATTAAAAAAAAAAGGTAAGAGAATATGGAACCAAAGATTCTAATCTTTCAAAGTTATTCCACTCCTGGTTACCTTCTAAAACATTGCTGTCTGGTGTTCAGTTGTGTATTTGTTTTTTTCTTATTTTTTTAAGGAAGCCCAATATTTCATTTTAAAATAACAAGTTGAAAATGTAACATCACCTAATTGTTTACTTAACAAGACGTGAAAACTTAAAGAGTTTTATCTTTTTCAGAAGTTCTTTAATAGACATAGATAATAGTTTTTTAAGTGCCTTTCAAACTGAAGGAATAAAATCTTTAGATATTAATGAAAGTTTTGCTATCTTTCATGAAGAACAAAAACACTGTTCTGTTAAAAAGATATTGAATAAACAAATACTGAATAACTATGTTATTTAGAGGTGATAAGTAAAACAATAAAATCATTTTGTAATTGATATGTCGTCAAGGCTAAAAATTAATCAGCACGAGCCCCCTATCTATACATAGACAAGACAATTTTGTCCCTCTATCATTCAGACTTTTTAAAAAACAAAATTGGTGAGCACGTTTGTTACACAAAGTTATTTATTAAAGTGATAATTCTGTTTCAAAACACAAAGCTTATAGCACACTAGTTTCAGCAATATTTTTTCTAAGTATATTTTTATTTGAATATATGTTTCAAGTGGTCAAGAATTTTTATTGCCTTTTTATCTCTAACCCAAAATACATACTTTTCATTACTGGTAACTAAACTCTGTTTTGTGAAGGAAAGATGGACAATCTCCTCTGGTGTGACTTATAACCTTTGAAAACCCAAAGAGGGTCAGCTATAGGTCAGTTCAGACTTGACAGTACTTAGCAACAACAAATTTTGTTTTGCTCCTTTTAGAGATCAGAAAGTATTCTAATGAGCAAATACTGCATTTCTAAAACAAGGAGCTCTGATGGCCTACTGGTAAGAAACTGCACCAATCCTAAAGGCTCTTGATTCAAATCCACCAACTGCTTTGCAGAAAAAGGACAGGCAATCTCCTCGTATGTGATTTGTTGCCATGGTTGTTATGTGCCGATGAGTTTACTATGATTCAGAGCAATGATATGCAGAATAGCTCTGAATCCTGCTCTATCCTGAGCCAATTTAACTGTCTCTGATATTTACCCTATGTCCCCAGTTACTGTGTCAATTCATTTCCCGGAGGGTCTTTCTCTCTTGTGCTGTCCCTCAATACTTCTAGGAAGGATATCCTTTTCCAAAGACAGATCCTCCTGGGTACATCACCGAAGTACGTGAGATAGAGTCTTAAAATCCTTGCTTCCAAGGAGCAGCTTTGTTTCACCCTCTACAGGAGAGAACATTTAATTGTGCTAATACGAAACCTATACTTGGACCAAGAGGCAGTAGTCAGAAAAGAGCAGGGTAACACTGCATGGTTCAAAATTGGGAAGGGTGTACGCCAGGGATGCATCCTGTCTCCATACCTTTTCAACATGTATGCAGAGCAGATTATCCGAGAGGCTGGGCTCTATGAGGAGAATTGTGGCATCAGGATTGGTGGAAGATCTATTAACAATCTGCGTTATGCAGATGACACAACCCTGTTTGCTGAAACTGAGGAGGACCTCATGCACTTGCTGCGAAGGGTCAAGGACTGCAGCCTTCACCATGGACTGAGGCTCAATGTCAAGAAGACAAAGATTCTCAGCACTGGACCAATTGGCAGCGTCAGGATGGACGACGAAGAGATTGAGAGTGTTCACAGCTTCAGTTTGCTCGGCTCCACAGTCAACACTCTTGGCACCAGCAGTCAGGAAATCAAAAAGCGTATCGCGATGGGAAAGTCTGCTGTTAGGGACCTCTCTAGGGTACTCAGGAGCAACAGTGTCTCTCTGGAGACTAAGGTGTGCCTGATACAGGCCATGGTATTTGCAATCACTTGTTATGCATCAGAGAGTTGGACAATGACTAGGGAGGACAGAAGGAGAGTGGATGCTTTTGAGCTGTGGTGCTGGAGAAGGGTACTGAATGTACCATGGACTGCCAGGAAAACAAACAGATTCATCTTTGAGACGATTAAACCAAGCTACTCCTTGGAGGCAAGGATTCTGGGGCTTCGTCTGACATACTTTGGACATGTTGCCAGGAGGGACGGGTCCTTGGAGAGGGACATCATACTTGGGAGGGTGGAGGGACAGTGCAGGAGGGGAAGATCCTCTATGAGATGGATTGATTCAGTGACTGGGGTAATCGGGATGTGTGTGTCAGAGGCGGTGCGGTTGGCACAGGATAGAGCAGGGTTTAGGGCTGTTGTGCATAGGGTCGCTATGAGTCGGAAACGACTCGAGGCACATAACAACAACAAAACAGGAGAGACCTGTTAGTTCCCTTGGCAGTCCTTGGTAAATCCACCACAGGGACAATTACGAGTCAATCCTGACTCAACAGCACACAAGAACAACAACAAAAACATTCCTCAGAAAAATCTTTGCTGAATCTCATTTCTATTTAGTTTAAACGTTTTTTTTTTTCACTCTATGCCTTCAGAAAGATGCTCCTTCCACCCATTGTAAAGCTCCAGTGTTGATAATATATAAGCAGACACATTAAAATGAACTCAGAGAACCTGCATGTGTAACTGTTCATTCCCTAGAACTAACCTATTCTGTTCTTTCCAACGTAAATACCTCACTATCTTCTCAGTGACAATAAAGTTCTATTTTTATTATAAGCATAAAAGGAAAAATAAGTGCAGAAAATAGACCAAAGAACTTTTGAACCAGGAAGGGGAAATGATTCTCAAGTTTCTACTTTGGAAAAAAAAAATTCTAAAATTGTTTATTTCACTCCTGAATGGTTCCAAATCCAGATTATAAATTATATAAGTTAAAGATACTGCTTTTATTAACCAATATTATAGAAATCTATTACATTTTGATTCTTAATAATTACCTGAAAGTACCTGAGGGTGCTTGTTTGCACAGTAACATTTTCTTATATCTGTAATAGATACACTGCCAGTTTTATTGAAATCCAGTTTCATAAATGCCTAAATAGAGAAAGTATAATTTTTTTTATGAAATCAGTAGACATGAGACCTTCATTTTCTATTTCAGTAGGTTATCTTGACACTCTAAGCAAGACAATTTAAAAGTGCTTAACTGATACATAAAGCAAGTGAATACAAGTAAACACACTTCCAATGTTAAGATACATACATATTTTCTATTAAATATGTGTGTATAAATACAGATCTATAAATTGCTCAAAATTACACTCTAAAAATAGCTATGAAAACTCCAAGTAGTATATAATTTAGTGCTACCAAGTCAGTTATGATTCAAAGTGACTCTAACTATTGTTAGGTGCCATGGTTGGGTTAAACTGCCCTACAGGGTTTCCAAAGCTGAACATCTTTACAGAAGTAGATGGCCACATCTTTTTCCCACAGAGTCACTGATAAGTTGAAAAATGTTGACTTTTCTGCATGCTTTAACCAGTAGCAACCCTTCATTGGGTTTCTGAGGCTGTAGGTCTTCACAGGAGGAGAATGCTTATCTTTCTCTTACAGAGTGGTCCAGCACGTAATGCAGGTTTCTCTTCCTCTCCCTCTCCCTCTTCCTCCCTTCCTCTCTCCTTTTCCAGTGTCATCAAGTCATAATTGACACATAACTGATTGGCCCTCCAGAGAGTTTCTGAGGCTGCAGCCTTTGGATTAGCAGCAAAACATTCTGAGCTATACCGCCAGCTCTCCCTAAGTAATATATGCTGTTGTTGTTTTGATGTACCATCATAGAGTCACAGCTGACCCTCCAGTGGGTTTGTAGAGACTGTTAACTACATGGGAGGAGATTTTCCATCATTCTCCCATGGATCAGCTAGTAGTTTCAAACCATGCCTTGGGGTTGGCAACACAGCTCCTTCTGTAACTAGGCCACCAGAACTCCCTAAGTAAAATATAGTTTCCCTTAAAGGATTCTTTTTAAATTTCCATTTAATTCAGGTACTCCAATATTCATTTTAATAACTTGCACACACACACTATGAAAAAGGGAGCTTGGTCTAGTGGTGAGAAGCTATGCTGCAATCCCAAAGGCACGTGGTTCAAATTCTCCTCTGCAGGAGAAGGATGGGCAATTTCCTTCCATGCATTTGACTGTCTCTGAAAACCCACAAAAGGGTAAACTATGGGATTGTTTCTGACTTAATGACACTCAACAATAACCACAAATATAAAAAATCAGAGCAACATTTTAAAAGTATTAGCCTAAAACTAAAGAATCTTGGTGGCTGCCGCAAGGATGCTTGGCTGCTAACCAAAAGGTTGGTAGTTTGAACCTACTCAGAGCCTCTATGGGAGAGAAACTTGATGACCCATTCCTATAAAGATTAAAGTCGAGAAAACCTCATGAAGCAGTTCTACTTAGTCACATGGGGTCACATGCGTCAAAATCTATTTTAGACAAATGAATTTTAGGGTTGTTGTTACAATCCTAAAATTACACGTGTCGAACATTGTGCATGAACTGGAACAATCACAATCCTAAGAACTTTGCATGTATTGTCTCATCCTATTCTCACACTAACTCTGTAAAATAAGAATCTAAGGCTTGAGATATTTACTAATAAACAGTCATACACTAGTAATTTCTGGAGCTAGTAATAGCATAGTGAAGTCGATGGTACCTTAAAAAATGAAATTACCCTTTAAAATGTTTAAATCTTTTTACCTGTTATGTGCGTTTGGTTTTATTAACATGCATTCATATATAAAATAACATATAAAGTATAAATAAAATATTTTACGTTTATTCTTTAGGAAAATACTATAAAAAGAAAATAAAACCAGAAAAGAAATTTATTTACAGATTACTAGGCAACTCACTAGACAATTATTAAGTAATTTACTGTTGTTATTGTGTGCCACTGAGGGAGAACCAACTCATAGTTGATCTTCCAGTGGGTTTTCAGGGACAGCAAATCGCACATAAGGAGCTGTCCATCCTTCTCCCATGAGTTTGCTGGTTCATTTAAACATACAGCTTACTAACTTCATAGAGCTTTCAAACATCAAACTCATGTATTGTATCTATTAAAAGGAACAATGTAAAAGATTACTTTAAAAAATTACCTTTCGAACAAATGATTTTCTATATTCATTCATTTCACCAATAATGGCACGTCTAAATGCTCCATAATCAACCTTGTTCCTGCCATCATCACTCAGAATTAGCCACAGGGACTCAAAATCCTAGAAATAATTAAATAGACATTCGTTTCATACCTTTATGTATGGTCAAAACAAAAAAAAAGTTTATAATGATGCTTGGTTATTTCTTTTATAGCCCTGTCCAGAGTAACAAAGTAGCTAAATTAGGAAGAAAATTCCAAGAAAACACATATAAATTTAATCATATCACAAAGGCACTGAAAACAAGGATATTTTTGTGAAAAAAATAATGTATTCAAACTTTATAAATAAATCAGTATAAAATTTTAAAAAAGGAAAAAATACAACTATGTAAAAGAGCTCTTGATAAATAATTCTGGAAAGTTAAGAACTTTTAGGAATGACAATAAAATAAAAAATTTGTTTCTAAAAATTCCTTTTCTCCATGATTACCAGTCCTCTTTTGTATTGAGCATTCAATTCTATCATTATTATGACTATTATGTCTGTGTCAACTCAGAAGTCTTTTTAGATTCTGGAATACCCCCAAAGTGCATCGTAACCACTGATTTTATCTGTTCATCTTTGTACAGATTTTAATGACTCCAATATTATTCTATCCATCTTAACCCACCACTGCCATGTACTTCCTGGCAAATGCACTTTTGAATAGAATATTCCATTTGCTGAAGGGTTATTTAAATGTTATGTTGGTTTACATATAAAATTCATATACACTGTGTTCATTCATGTACATTGTGTTTCACATATTCTTCTATTCACATTGTGTTTCGTATAATCATTCTCATAACCCCACACACAGTGTTTGTTTTTCTTTTTATGTATGTGGGGTTTTTAAAATAGTGATTTTAATGAAAGCTTACAGAACCGTGGGGATTTCATCCAATCATTATTGCACATCCTTCCCCCCCCTCCTCCAGTGCACTTTGTAATACACATCTTGTTCCATATTGTTAACTGTCATACATATAATGCCTAATCATGTATTCCTTCCAGACTGTCCCTCCTCAACGCAGTGTCCATTATCTATCCATTCCTTTCCTGTTGAAAATGAAAAAAAAATCTACTTTCATGTTGTCATGCTACTATTGTTGTTCTGGGGTCATTCATTCCTTCTATGCAATGGAAGAGAGGAAACTAAACCATGGACTATTTATTTAGTATTAATTAATTCGGTATGCATAGTGTGTGCAATGAATGATCAGTCTGTTAATCAGAAAAGGACTGGTTCAAACATACCACCTGCTCTGAGAGAACAAGACATGCAGTCTCCTCCCATAAAAATTCACAGAAATTCTACGGAGAATCACTGTAAGTCAGAACTGAGGAGGACACAATGAAGTGGATTTTGACAGGGCTGTGCAGTGAAACCTCATGTAGCAGAAGTGAAAGTCCTCAGTGCTAGTTAAAAGGTGAGGAGCTTCAGGGTCACCCATTTTGCATAATATTGCATGAGTTCCTTGTTTTTCAATGCAGCGTAGTATTCCATTGTGTGAATATACCACAGCTTTCTACCCATTCGTTTGTTGATGGACATGTAGGTTGTTTCCAACTCCTTGCTATTGTAAACAAAGCTGCAATAAACATGGGTATGTATATATCTACTTGGATGTCATTTATGGTCTCTTTAGGGTATATTCCCAGTAGCGGAATTGCTGGGTCAAATGGTATCTCTATTTGCAACTTTCTGAAAAAACGCCACACCACTTTCCATAGTGGTTGCACCATTTTACACTCCCACCAACAGTGAATAAGGGTTCCAGCCTCTCTACAACCTCACCAACATTTGTTGCTTGCTGCTATGTTAAATTTTGCTAGTCTTACTGGAGATGATATCTCATAGTTGTTTTGATTTGCATCTCTCTTAGAGCTAGGTATTTTGAACATTTCTTCATGTGTTTGTTGGCCATCTGAATGTCTTCTTTGGTGAAGTGTCTGTTCATATCCTGTGCCCATTTTTTTATTGGATTATTTACCTTTATCTTGTTGTGGTGCTCAAGTATTTTATAAATTCTAGATATAAGCCCCTTATCTGACATGTCATTACCAAACACTTTTTCCCAGTCTGTGGCTTCCCTTTTTACCCTGTTAGAGAAGTTTCTGGATGCACATAGGGATTTGATTCTTAGAAGGTCCCATTCATCTATTTTATCTTCTCCTGGTTGTAAATTTTTCAGAATACTTGGAAGACTCTTTATGTTGTGGATTAAGACTACTAAAGTTCTTCCAAGCTTTTCTTTAATGAAGTTTATAGAAATTTTAAAAAAATGTTGAAAACCCTCTGAGGCCCAGCTCTCTGGCATACCTGAGATTGCAGGAGTCCATATCAACTTAATGGCAACTAGTCACTGGTTGAGTTATGAATGTGTGCATCTGCTTTTTATTCAAACACATTTAAATATACAAAGAAAACTACAGACAGACAAGAATAGTTAGGAACAGTATACATTAATGGTAAAGTGCAAGCAGCCCTTTCAAAAACTCTTCCTCCTTCCTTCTTTAACTTACTGTCAAAATTTTCCAAATAAAAAGAAAAAATAATAACACCTTTCCAATAAAGACATTTCACTCCATGAAATATTTTCCATATATATTGAAATAGTAACTTTAAAAAAAAAATGTGAGGAGCCCTAATTCATGTGCCACTCTGCTGGAGAAAGATGAGACAGCCTTGTCTACTTCTGTAAAGACTTACAGCCAAGGGAACCCCACTACACTGTCTTATAAGGTTGCTATGAGTCAGACGGAGTTAAAGGCAGTGAACTTGGTTTTGTCTTTATGCCAGCCTCTCCACCAGATGCTGCAAACAGAGTAGGGGACCAGAAGTATAAGGTTCCTGCCCTATTGAAATTCATAGTTCAGGTGCAGGGAGAGCCAACCAGTTACTGCAGAGGTGCTATATGGAGAAAATGGTGTAGAAAACACTAGAGAAGAAAGGGAAGTGCTCTTGTCATGTGACAGGCATGCCAGAGAAGCTCTCCCAGTAGAGAAGGCTGTGGGCTGAATCATGATAAAATAAAACCCTGGAAAGACGTAGCAGAAGATTCTCACTGCAGAGGGAACAGCATGCATGAAGACGCAGCTATGGAAAAACTAAACATGTGCAGTTCCTCGAACAGGCCACACACTCCACACACCCTCCTTTCTACTCCTTCACACATGCTTCTCCATCTGAAACACCCCATCATCTGATCTGTGTTCCTCTTCTTCTCTTAACTGGTTAATCCCTGCTCTTCCTTCAAAATACAGCTTGGATGTAGCCTACTCCAGAAAGCCTTCCAGGATCTTCCTCTCCTTCATTCATCGCTTAGCTTAGAATAGGATTCTTTCCCCATGTGTTCCCCAAAGTATCTTCATTTAGCATGTATCCTATTTTTATAGTCATTTATGTGTTTCTCTCCTTGAATTCTAATGAGCTTGGGGGGTACAGAGATTGTCTTCTCAAAGCTTAGCACAGAAATGGATTAGCACAATTTTAATAAATATTTGATGAGAAGATGAATGTTGACATTCTAAAAAAATTAACAGAACATACTGCCTGGTGCTTAACACTGAAAATAGAGAATAAAGAAGAAGGTGAAAGCAAAGGAACACCTAAAAATCCAGCACGAAAAGAGAATAAAGCCATCTATGAGTCATGTGTTATGTACAGCAGAGTGTTAGCTGTGGGACATACCTTTTCAGGCACTTCTAAGTGAAATAATTTTAGAGCTTGTTTAAAATCTTCCTTGTCTAAAAGTCCACCTCCTTTTTTGTCCAACTGTTGAAAGTATTTTCTCAGTCCAGTCAAAACACGAACACCTCTTTTCTGTAGTTTTACTTTTAGCACATCTATTTAGCAAAAGGAGAGATAGAAACTAAATGTTGCTATAAGCAAATGGATCAAATTATAATTGTCCTTCTTTGAAATAAAACAGAAAAATTAAAGTAGAAAGGGAATCCAACTAAACCATGCACATAATTAAAAAAAAAAAACACTTGGAAAACAGAATAGCTTTATTACAGAGAATGACACATAAAATTACATGTAACTATACCAGGATTATAGCACCACTCTGTGGTGAAAGCGTCACATTTTCAACTAAGGAATGGACTTTGCTTTAAAGCATAAAAATAGCCTAACTATTGTCAATAAAAATCTTATGTTTTATTTTCAATCTAGCTGTACACATTTTTAATCTCTTTCCTCCTTCTATATTATTGCCAGTTGAATTACAGAAATGATGCCAGGCAAGCCAGTCAAAAATTATCAGTTCAGATTTTCTAAAATGCTGAAATCTTCAAATCGTGGCTTAGCGAAGTTTTGGCATGCTAACCTGTACTTCTCATTTAAAGTCACCTCTTAAGGGCTTCTTTTCTCAGGCTCCAAGTATTCTGTTTATACCTCAGTGATTTACTAAATTGAGTTTTTATACCATCCTGGACTCAGAGGTTTTGTCTCTCAGGCTGTTCAAATCCACCAGCTGATCTTCGAGAGCAAAATGGGTCATCTCCTCCTTCTGTGCTACTTACAGCCTTGGAAACCCAATGGAGGGTCAGCCATGAGTTAGTTCTGATTCAACATCAATAAGTGAGAGCGTTAAAAATAGTTGAGATTTTAGGGATCTGTCCCAGACAACTTCCAAATATGTTTCTTGTCTTCTATCCATAAATTTTCTTGTTTATCTTTAAGTGTCAAATCAGAATTTATTAGCATTTCTAAATTATGTTTATTTCTGTAATTAGTTCTGCAATCAATGCCTTTCTATCTTTCAGATTACAATATCCAAGAAAGAGATTATCTATTCTGCAGTGGTTGCATGCTTCTACTCTAGAAACAGACAGCATGGATTGTATATGCAGTTCTAACACTAAACATATGACCTTGCGGAAGTTATTTAACCTTTTAAAGCTTGAGTGTCTTCATCAGGATAATGAGAGACAATTATATAACATTATCTTACTACATACTAAGTAGTTGAAACTGAGCTTGGTATACGGTAAATACACAATAAATTATCATTATAATAATGTAGCAAGCATTATTTCAATGATCACTAACAAGCCTAGTTTAGCACATAAATTTGGTACAAAACTAGTAAATCAATACTTTTAGCAAAAGTGTATGCTTATTGTATTCAGGGATAATCATGCCCCCTGAAATAAGAAAAGCACTCAATAAAACATTAATAAATCTGTATGATTTTTAGGTAAGAAAGTATCAAATTGATAGTGTTTGGGAGAGTCACTTAAATTTGTTTTCTTTTCCTTGCAGGTATTTAATAGAAAAACTAACAAATGGGAGGGGGAGGGGTTTGTGCGGGGAGAAGGGTGCAACAATGAATGAATGGAATCCCAAAATCTCTGTAGATGTTCATTGAAATGAAAAATAAACAACCTAAAT